GGGGGGGGGCAGGGTGTGCCTTGGGCTCTTCAGGGAGCAGCATCACTTTCTTCCCCACCCACTGCCAAAATGCCTGCCAGTCAGATCTTCTGCCTCCTGGGCAGCAAACACTGTGCCAGTCCCGGAGGAACCACACAGAGCCGCCCTTTTTAGAAGAAAATATCATCAAAGAGCATCAAAAACATTAGCACTAAAAGAGACCTTGATCTACACATCAGGGCTCTGAGGACAAAAGAGGGGCTGTGACTTGCTCAAGGTCAAGGTCTTGGTTTACCATCAGTGATGTTTTAGCACAAGAGCTGAGGGCTCTGGCCTTTAGACCTTCCAGGTCTTCCTACCCCAGCCAAGGGAAGGGACAAGACTGTCTAGTTTTAGTCCCTTCTGTGACCCCAGAACCTGGGAGAGTAGGTGCTCAGTGAATGAATGAATTAATGACCTGAGTTCTGGGGTCACTTACTCCTCTCCATCTGGACTTGTTTCCCCTGTAGAAAGCACTATGGATATGAGCATACATCAGAATGGCTGGATCTGAATCCCAGTTCTGCCACTTACTGGCTGTGTGATTTTGATCAAGTTACTTAACCTCTCTGTGGCTCAGTTTTCTCATATGTAAAATAAGGGTAGTACAGAACCTGGCTTATAGGGATGAGATAAAGGTAAAACGAATTCACACGGGGGATGTAAAGCCTTTAGGACGGCACCTAGAACACAGCAAACTCTTTTTAAAGGTTTGTGACTTATTTTCCCCCTTCCTCTCTTTTCCAGCAGGCACCTAGCTTCTCTGCCTGAAGTTTGGTGTTCTCCGCCTCTCTTATGAAAGACCAAGCCCACAGATGCATGCCGCCAGGTGCCCGTGGGTGGCAAAGGATGAGGGCATTTGAGAAGCTGCTAACAGGGAAGTTGAGAATGAGTGGGGGCTGAGGTCTGTGGCTCACAGGCAGTGACCCAGCCTCACCTCTTGGTCCTGCTCTGGGATGTGGTCCGGCCACCGGGGGAACGGCTGCATGGTGGGTGCACCTGGGGAGGGAACCGCCCCACAAGAGTCCCTACATTTCCCCCGGGCTGGAAAGGGATGGATGAGAAGTGTCTCTTTGGTACCTGGGCCAAACTCTGCTGGGTGACTAGTGTTCCGGAGTGGGCTGGGCCCATACACCAGTCCTGGGGCTGGGGACTGGAGGTAGAATTAAGCAGGCTGCAGGATCTACAGAAAGACTGTCATTTGCAGACCTGAGCTTGGGACTCAGAATTGGGCCCTGTGAGCTTGTAAACCAGGAGAGAGCACCAGGGGCCTGTCTCTATGGGGGCAGGTGCCAGCTGGTGCCGCCTGTGTTGCTACCTGGCTTGGCCTGAAAGCCCCCATTTCACAGGAATCCTGATGGCAAAAGAGCAACATGTGGGTTTCTTCAATGAATGAATCATTACTCTCCCCGGCCCCCCAAATCTTCCTCCTGCAGCATTCACCATCTTAGCTAATGACAACACCACTCCTCCAGGTGCTCAGGCCAGACTCGGAGTCACCTTTGACCACCCCCATGTCCATCAGCAAGTCTGTGTGCTCCACTTCAATGCCGTCCCGCCCCCCACTCCAAACCTCCACTGCTTCTCCTCCGGGTCCTGCACAGCCCCTAAGTCTCCCCTCAGCATCTGCCTTCAACCCCTTCTTGTCTATTCTCCACCAACAGCCAGAGTGAGCCCGTTAAAACAGCAAGTGGATCATCACTCCTCTTCTCAAAAGCCCTCACTGGCTCCCCGTTGTACTGAGCCTAAGGCCGAAGCCCGTCCTCAGCCTCCCAGGCTCCCCCGGGCTGGCTTCAACCCGCCAGGCCTCGCCCACCACCCCGCCGCTCGGCTCCAGCCACAGGGCCTCCTGGCTGCTCCTCACATGTGCCGGGCAGCTCCCCCTGAGGGCTTCCTGCTGGATGTGGTGAAGTCTCCCCTGCCCGGGCTGTGCCCACGAGCATAGGGATTTTCATAGTTTGTTCACTGATACTCAAAATCTCGGACAGCAGGACGTGGGCACTGCCCGGTGAGAGCAGAATCCACAGGAGACTGGTGACACACGGGACCGTGACGGGCGTGGCCGGGCTTGGTGCCCGGCACCGCCGTGGGCCGTACCTGCTTGACGGCCAGGTTGACCAGGTCGTAGCGGTAGGAGATGCGCACGGGCAGGCAGACGCTGTAGACGGCGTGCAGCGCGGCGCAGAAGAAGCTGAGCAGGCCGATCTGCTTGCGGTGCTGCAGCCAGTGGTCCAGCCAGTCGGGGAAGCGGCGGTACTTGGTGCCACGCCACAGCTGCAGGGCGGCTGCCAGCATGCCAGGCAGGTAGACCAGCGACAGCAGCACGTAGGCCACGCAGGGCAGCGTCGTGTTGACCACGGACAGCGGGAGCTTGTAGAACTTGCTCTTGCCCTCCTGCACGTAGGGCTGCAGCACGTCCCGGATGCAGTTGTAGGTGTAGAAGAAGAGGAAGAGCCCCAGGGCCAGGATGGTTGGCACCTTCCAGCTGGGGAGGAGGTGCAGAGGCAGGGCCTCCACCTCCCGGGCCGAGGCCAGGGACCCCATGTCCACGGGCATGAAGCCCATGGCGTGTGCCAGCTCTGAGACGACGCGCTTGGCTTCTGGCTGGTCACTACAAATGGGCACCTGTGGGGGGAAGGAGAAGGGGACTCAGATAGGGTCACAGGCCACTGGGATGGGCAGGGCCCCATGAGCATCAGGGCGAAACTCCCCACCCCACGGAGCAGCTGAAAAACCAAGGCCAGCGGTGACAGTCAGTGGTATAGCTGGGAGCAGAGATGGCTGTGACAGCCAGGCCAGGGGTCTTCCCTCGCCCCCTTGTAGCCTCCCAGGCCCTGGGCCACCAATGCCCACTGCTCAGGAAGAGCACCTGGGGCTCACCTAGTGGTGAACATTTTGCCCAGCTCATTATCAGCCTCCACAGCAAAGTGCCCACCTGGGCAGCCCCCACGGGCCTTGGAACAGGTGCTTCGAGGACTGTGGTCTACCCTGGGGAGCACTCGGCAATTGGGCTTTACCTGTAGCCGTGAGTGCACCTCTACCCCTCAGTCCGGAAATGTCCCTTTTCATTATGTTCCTTGGCCCCCTATGGCCCTCAGCCGACACACAGGTCTTCCACAAGCCAGCCCCAGCCTCAAGGTCCATTGCTCCCCAGTACAAGCTCGCATGCAAGCACACCGGTGTTCTCAGTCCCTAAACTCTCCACGGGCCGTGCTGACACTGCTGTGGTCAGCGTGGCCTACCGACACCGACTCCGCACGTACTGTGTGCCAGGCTTACACCTGCGCTCCCTCAGCCTGCTCAGGCCCATAGTAGGTACTACTGGCCCAGTTTTTCAGGTGAGGAAACTGAGGTCTGTGCCTTTGCAGGTTGTCTCAGTGCAGAAGGCCCTGCTGCGTAACAACAAGATGCGGGCAAGGCCAAGGCCAAAGTCAACCTCAAATTCTTCCCCAGCCCGCCGATAGCTCTGTTTCCTCCAAGCCCCGCCACCCAACACTCACCCAGTTTCGGGCCTGTCCACACACAGGCGCCCTAAGACGCAAGCTGCACATAGGGCCCCACAGACAGGGATGGTGGCCTCTGTGTGCTCCCCCACAGCCTGGCATGGAGCTATGCAGGGGAGGCGTCTGGGCTGAATTTATTGGTGGAAGTTCTCAAACACATGTGGCTCCCGGCTCCTTCCTCCAGAAAAATGCTTGGCCTCTTGGTATTAAAAAGGACCTTGTCTTGGTAAGAGCTCCCCCTGCCAACAACTGCACGCACTCTGGTCATTCTCTGGAGCCATTTTCCAGCCTCAGAAAAACCTGCTAGTGACTATTTTGAGAAATCCACTCAGTTCTTGGAAGCCCTGGAATAAATGGATGAAAGTTTGGGACAGACACACTTCCTCAGGGTTTGGCACATAAGCGTGTTACTGTCCTTCTGAGTCCAATTCTAAAGGAAAAGTTTCTTCCCTTCTGGACTCTAAACACAAAAAGGAAGCCATCAGCCTTTTCTTCCTTGTTTCCTAGGTAGTCGAGTTACTGTCGAAAAAAGAATATGAATTTCAAATTCATAGGAACTGAGTTCAAATCTCAGCTCACCAACTGTGGGACCTCAAGTTCATCGATATCCCTGAGCCTCAGTTTCCTCCTCTGTGAAATGAACCTTGCAGTGATGTGAGACGAGCTGAGACAATGGAGCGTGAAGAGCCCGGCATGCTGAAGGCCCTCAAGGAAAGCTAGCCATTTACCTTCGTTGCTACGGTGGTTGCTAGTCCCCCAGCACCTACCTGCCTGTTCCCATCCCTTGGGCCAGCCTGCAGGGTCCAGGCGGAGATGACATTGAAGGCCTTGACCACGGTGCAGGCGGGGAAGAGGGAGGCCAGGTACTCGGCATTGGACTCCCGGCGCTGAAGGTGCTCCTGCTCTGTGGGGTTGCTCACATCCACCAGGATCTTGCCGGCCAGCTGGCCGCTGAGGCCGCACAGCGAGGAGTAGTGCTCCCGGAACACGGCCACAAAGATGACCTCGGGGGAGCCTACCGCCTCCGCCTGGAAAGTCACTTGTGCTGCTGAGGGGAACAGCCCAGCCGTGCGTTTGGGGTTGCGGCTTCCCACCACCACGCTGAAGCCAGAGCCCACCAGGCGTGTGGCCAGGGAGCGGGCAAAGTCCCCAGTGCCCAGGATGCCCACTTTGGGGGCCTCGCTGGCGGCCTCGGCAAGGCTGCCATCACTGTCCACCAGGCGACGGCTGATCAGCGGCTTGTCCATCTCTCCTGACATTTTGGTGGCTGGAAGAGAAAACAGGGACCTGGTCAATGGAGGGTCCTGGACTGCCCTGCCTATCGCCTGTCTCTTGTTCACTGTAACTGCATGGTTGTCAAACATTCATCCAACAGGCTTCATGCGTGCTAACCTGTGTCAGCAGGCAGGGGCGAGCTGGGTGAGACGGAGCCCCTTCTTGAGGGCACACATGCAGGAAGAGGAGGGGGGGGACCTCTGATCTCCACCCTTTGTCCTTCCTGCTAAATTACTTCTTTGGGACAAATCTACAAGAGTGAGAGTGCTGAGCAAGAAGGGAATGGAATTTCCAATATCATGCTGTGCAATGCCGTGCTTCTTTTCAAGGGACCATGTGGTGGCCAGTGTCACTATCCAGAGTGACTGTTTAACCCAACCTCACCACTGCTGGGTGCTATCTCTGATTACCAGGAAGGGTAGACAAGTTCCTCTGCTCGTTTAAAGTTTGCATTTTGGAACAGTACCTATGATGCTTCCTTAAGTACATGCTGAGCAGCTTGAAGGCAAGGACTTGATCTTATTTGAATCTGGATCTCACCACTTGTCACAGGGCTGGTGCTCAAGATTTGCTGAATTAATGAATAAATACTGAAATCCCACTCTAAGGGTAGGGTGGGGGTGGTCATGACATTGAACGGGGTCCTGAGATTGGGTGGTGCCCTGGGATCTTCTTTACTGAGCCTGAGGTGTGAGTGGAAATGGAGGAAAACCTGGACTTGAACCAGGAGTTTATAATAAACTTATTGGGAAAAATTATAATTGTCTATAAAAATTATATTTTAATTTGCTATTTCCTTTATGCATGAATATAAGCAACAAGCCACAGCAGTATTCACAGTTTGTCACTCATACTGACCAATGTGATGGCACAAATTTAATTGTGAAAAAGTTTTCCAAATACTGCTTAAATTCATCACTAATTTAAAATAATTGTAAACAGGAGCACCTACATATATAGAACAAATATTAGCAGATCTGAAGGGAGAAATAGATAGCAATACAGTAACAGTAGGGGACATCAATACCACTTTCAATAATAGATAGATCATCCAGACAGAAAATCAGTATGGAAACATTGGACAGCCTTGCAACCTCCTCATGTGTACATGGAACATTCTCCAGGATAGATCATATGTCAAGTCATAAAACAAATCTTAACAAATTGAAGGAGGTTGAAATCATATCAAGATTCTTTTCTGACCACAACAGTATGAAACTAGAAATCAGTAATAGGAGGAAAGCTGGGAACTTCACAATTATGTGGAAATTAAAGGACACACCCCTGAACAACCAATGAGTCAAAGAAGAAAACAAAGGGAAATAAAAAAAAAAATATTTTGAAACAAATGAAAATGGAAACAAAACTTATGTGATACAGCAAAAGCAGTTCTAAGAATATTAATAGCTCAGTGCCTATATTAAGAAAAAGAAAAAAAAAATCTCAAACAACCTAACTTTATACCTCAAGGAACTAGAAGAAGAACAACAAACTAAGTGCAAAGTTAGCAGAAGGGGGAAATAAAATGACCACAGTGGAAATAAATGACATACAGGCTACAAAAACAACAGAAAAAAATTAACAAAACTAAGACCTGTTTTGCTTTTTTAAAATAAACAAAATTGACAAATCTTTAGCGAGACTAAAGGAAAAAAAAAAAAAGATGAGAGAGAAAATAAACAAAATGAAAAATAAGAGGAGAAATTACAACTGATATTACAGAAATACAAAGGATCATAAGAGACCATTATGAACAATTATATGCCAACAAATCGGATAACCCAGAAGAAATGGATAAATTCCTTTAAAACATACAGTCTACCAAGACTAGGTCATGAAGAAATAGAAAACCTGACAGGTCAATAATGAGTAAGGATATTGAATCAGTAATTTAAAATCTCCCAACAAAGAAAAAGCCGGGGCCTGGATGGCTTCACGAGTGAGTTCTACAAAACATTTAAAGAAGAATTAATGCCAGTCCTTCTACAACTCTTCCAAAAAACTGAACGGAAGGGAACACTTCCAAGCTCATTTTATGAGGCCAGCATTACCTTGATACCAAAAAGGACACTGCAAGAAAAGAAAATTACAGGACAATATCCCTGATGAACATAGATGCAAAAATCCTCAACAAAATACTAGCAAACAGAATTCAACAGCACATTAAAAGAATCCTACACCATGATCAAGTGGGATTTATCCCTGGCATGCAAGGGTGTTTAAACATCTGCAAACCAATAAATGTGATATACCACATTAACAGAATTAGGATACAAATCATATGACCATCTCAATAGGTACAGGAAAGAGCATGTGACAAAACTGAACATCCTTTCATGATAGAAACTCTAAGAAAATAAGTATAAGAGGATTACCTCAACATAATATAAACCATGTATGACAAGTGCACTCCTCACACCATACTCAGTGGTATAAAGCTTTTCCCTTAAGATCAGGGATAAGACAAGGATGCCCACTCCTGCCACGTCTATTCAACACAGTACCAGAAGTCCTAGCCAGAGAAATCAGGTGAGAAAAAGAAATAAAAGGCATTCAAATTGTCACTATTTGCAGACAACATGATCTTATATATAGAAAACCCTAAAGACTCTACCAAAAATTTGTTAAAACTAAGAAACTAATTCAGTAAAGTTGCAGGATACAAAAATCAATATACAAAAATCAGTTATAGTTCTAGACACTAACAATGAACAACCTGAAAAAGAAATTTTAAGAAATTTCATTCATAATATCATCAAAAATATAAAAAAACAACTTAGGAATAAATTTAACCAAGGAAGTGAAAGATCTGCACACTGAAAACTATGAAACTGATGAGAGAAAATGAAAAAACACAAATAAATGGAAATGTGTCCATGTTCATGGATCAGAAGAATATTATTAAAATGTCCATACTACCCAAAGTGATCTACAAATTCAAAGCAATCTCTATCAAAAGACCACAAATAACTAAAACAATCTTGAGCAAGAACAAAGCTGGAGCCCTGCTGGGCGTGGCTCAGCGGTGGAGCATCAACCTAGGATCCAGGAGATCGGGGTTCGATTCCTGGTCAGAGCACATGCCCGGGTTGTGGGCTAGGCAGCCGATCAATGGCTCTCTCATCATTGATGTCTCTATCTCTCTCTCTCCCCCTCCTTTCCTCTCTCTGAAATCAATAAAGACATGTTTTAAAAAAAAAAAAAGAACAAAGCTGGAGGCATCACACTTCCTGATTGCAAACTATATTACAAAGCTATGGTAATCAAAATAGTATGGTACTGGCATAAAAACAGACTAATGGGTGTAAGGGTTGAGGGGAGGGGGCTCTGGAGCCAGACTGCCTAGGTTCTAATTCTGGCTGCCACATGCTGGCTATGTCACCTTGGGCTTGTCAGTGCCTTAGTTTCCCCAACTATGAAAAGGAGACAATCAGAGCACCTTCCTTATGGGGAGGTAGGAATAAGTAAGCCAGTATTTGTAAAACACTTAGGACAGTGGTCGCCAAGCACACAATAAACACTCAGTAGATGTGGGACTGTTATTATGACACAAATACTGGTTGCAAGCTCGGTACCAGCAGCAGGGACAGGCAAAGGAAAGATGCAGAAGACCCTGGAGGCACCTCCTCAGCTGTGGGGAAGAGGGGCTGTGCAGGTGGCCTCAGGCTCCCAGGCCAGCTTAGGGATTTGGCTTAAGGTGAATGTAAAGCCACCTCCTGGGACTCCAGTGTCCCCTGCGCTCAGTCAAGGTGGGAACAGATAGACTCACATCTTTCCCAGCCACTGCCTCAGCCACCTGGAGACACCAGCCCTGAGCCCAGCTTTGCCCTTACCAGGAAGGAAAGTGACCTTAGCGAGGCCTGCAGACCGTCTTCTCCACATTTGCTAGCAATTTGGAGGAGCCCAAGAAGGCCCCCTCCTGGACCGAATCCTCTCCACCATCTCCGTTCGCTTTCTCCTCTCTCCTGTCTCCTGAGTAACTACCATGTGAACACCCGAGGAGCACAAAGATGGGTAAGACGTGGTCCCGCCTCAGATGGTTCACAGCCTGGTTTTCAATGGTGTGCGTGCGTGTGCGTGTGTGTACATGGTGAGATAAGACACACCCGCCCAGGGCGGAACACAGGGCGGCACAGTGGAGCCCAGGAGGCAGGCACTTCAGGAGGGGAAGCCAGGCTGGGCTTCGTGGCATACATGGCATCTGCTGCTCCTTGAAGAACCCCAATGGTTTACAGACTCAAAGCAAAACCCAACCCCCGGGAAGGAAAAGAGACGAGACCCAGGCTTTGAATGCTGCCTGTGTTTAACCCCAGACTTAGCATGGAGAGTGGGAAGGAACTGTTTGGAGCTGGCTCTTGAGGCTCAGTGCTCAGTGCTCAGAACCTGACTCGGTATTTTCTTCTTTTGGGGGAGCTGAGACAGAGGCAACTGCACAGAGAAAAGCCATGGCAGGGGCTGGGGGTCCGGGACAGGGCCTAGCTTTGCCGCAAACTGGCCTTGAGACATGGGAGCATCGCTGAGCCTCTCTGGGTGGCTTTCGGGACATCAGATCCTCTCCGAGCCCCACCACCGGGGCAGTTTAGGGATCCATGAAAAGTCCCAGGCGTACGGTCCTCAGGGGCCCTGTGCAGGATGAATGGAAATGAAACATAAAGNCTGGGGGTCTGGGACAGGGCCTAGCTTTGCCGCAAACTGGCCTTGAGACATGGGAGCATCGCTGAGCCTCTCTGGGTGGCTTTCGGGACATCAGATCCTCTCCGAGCCCCACCACCGGGGCAGTTTAGGGATCCATGAAAAGTCCCAGGCGTACGGTCCTCAGGGGCCCTGTGCAGGATGAATGGAAATGAAACATAAAGCACCTCTAATGTGCTTCTTGCCATCAAAATTTGGTCCTTAGGACAGGAACCAGCCAGGTGGTAGTGCCTTCTGGGGAGGCCTCCACCCCAGGGGCGCTTTTTCCTGCAGTTTTGACACGGGGGCAAGTGCTGTGGT